TGGCTTGTCGAGGATCCCAGGAGGGACCTTCCTGTGCCCAGGGCCAGCTGCACTCCCCCTGCCCTGTCCCCGTCACCTTACAAGGAGTGTGTGCCGTGCCCCACAGCCCACCGTCCCTGACAGCCCACGGGCTGGGGCGGGGGGTGCTCCCACCTTCCCGTTCCAGCTCCAGGGGCGCTCAGGTAGGGAGTGTGACCGAGCTGGGCGGCCAGAGCTGAGGCCAGGCCCCTGGGAATCCCTGGGCTGGCTCCGCCATGGGACGGCACTGGCCATCTCTCCTGCCTGTCCTCCTTGTGTGTCCAGGGGGTGGTACTTAGTCCTTACTTAGGAGGCTGTGGGCCTAAAGCGGATGACAGCGTTCAGGGGCCCAGGCCGGTTCAGTAAGTCCCCAGCTGTGCACTGGCCCTGCCCCAGCAGCCCCAGTTTCCCTGGGGTGGGGAGGAGGCACGGGTGTCAGTGACCCCAACTGAAGGCAGAAGCACCCGGTATTTCTGAGCCGTAGGGCCGTCCCCCCCACTCCCGGGAGGGGCCTCTCCCTCCAATCGTGGCTTCTGCCAGGGTCAGTCACCTTCACATACCCCCAAGCCCGTGCTCAGGGCCGGGGTTGGCAGGACCCCCGTGCTTCAGGCCCGCATCCTGAGGCTCTGCACCAGGCCAATCGAGCAGTAGGAGAAGAAAGCCCATATGGACTGGTCCCCACATGCCTCGGGCAGAAGGGGTCAGGGTTTAGGGGTCCCGGTTGCAGCTTGAACTCGTAAGCCACCTGGTGTCTGCTCTGCTCGAGCCCCTGGGGCTCCCGCTGGTCCCATCTTGTCTGTGTGAGGCGCCACGCTCCCCTTACCGTGTAGCGCCCCCAGCCGCGCCTCGCCCGGCCCGTGTGCACTGCCCCAAGGCTTCCTGCCCTCCCGGGCTGGCCCTCGGCTGCCCCCCCGGCCCCTGCCTGGGCGCTGCCTGCTCGGCCTCTGTCGTGTGTCTGTGTGGGTGTGCTCCCCTCCCTCTTCTCTGGGGTATTTACTCGGTTTCTTCTCTTTGAATAGCATAGCGTACCGTCGGGTCGTTCGTGTCTATCAGTATGAAGTTGGGGATGATCTGTCTGGAAGGTTTTTCTCCTCTTATTTCTCTCCCTACCTCACTGTGGTTTTGCCCGTGCACTCTTGACTTGCCCAGGCGGCTCTGCTTTCCGACTAACCCACTGCCCTCGGCCGCCCGGGGCAGAGCGGCCTGTCCCCCTCCCCCTGCACCGGCACCCAGCCCCCCACCCCCAGGCCCTGGGGTGTGCTTTGCCCTGGGGGGCGTGGCGTGACCGTGAGTCTGAACTGACCCGCTGGGGTAGGAGGAGGCCTGGTGCCTTGCTTTTGCTCGACACTTGGAACTTGGGGAGATGTCAGAGCTCACGCTGGCTGGCTGGGCGTTAAAAGGGTGGGCTGGGGCAGATGGGGGCGCAGGGGAGGCCGGGCTAAAATCCCACCGAGGACATGCGCACAGTGTGACTCGTCCCTGCACGCGCCCCCAACCTGGCCACCGTCTTCGTTCACTGGAAGCCTCCCGTGGCCTTGCCCTGTGTCAGCGGGACGGAGGCTCCCCCAGCCCCTGGCTCTTCAGAACTTGGCCCTGGAAGGAGCCTCTGGTGCTGCCGCCAGACCCTGGGACCTGACGCGGAGGCTCAGTCACAGCCGCCACCCTCCTCCGGGCAGGACTAGAACCGTTTTTAAAGCTCAGGTCTGGCCACGACCTCTTAGCACCCGGCGTCCGTGTCTCAGGGGTCTGGCTGCGTCTGCCCCTGGAAGGGGACCTCTCCCCAGGAACCTGCAGGAGACCCCAGGGGTTCCTGGGGTGGCTGTCTGCTTGTCAGCCCCCTCCAGCCTAGGGCCTCCCCGTCTGTCGGCAGCAGGGAAGGCCCTGTAGGGGGTCTCTTCCCGCCGTGGCTGCAGAGGGGGGTGCCCTGTTGGGCCAGAGCCCTCCTGTGTTCCTGGGAAGTCAGTTCCCGAGGTGCTCCTCAAGGGCCTGGCTCGAGTCAGGCCCTGTGTCACAGCGGTGCGAGGCCCAAGGGGCCGCATGAGGAAGGGCCTTGGCCGGGGTGGGTGGCAGCCACTCGGAGCAGCGGCTTCCCCCCTGGACTCAGGGAAAGGACGGCCTGCCTGCTCCCGGGCCACGCAGGGAGAGGCAGCCGACGGCAGGTGGGTCAGTTTCCTTCGTAAAAAGAACTGGAGCCCGCAGGCACCGTTTAACCGGGAGTAGTTCATCTCAAGCCCACGGGTCCCTCTTGCCTCACCTCGGTTTCACGTTTGCATACAGGTCCTGCATGGTGGAAGAATCCGGGACCCTTGAATCCCAGCTCGAAGCTACCAAAGTAAGTGCCCGAAGGGCCCCTGACCCAGCCGAGACCCTGCACCCGTCCACCCTGGTGGGCCTGCCTGGCTCTCGGTCCGGCCGGAGGCGGGCTGGCTGGGTACCCCTGTACCCTCTGGCTGAAAGCAGCCTGGGCCCCACTGGTTTAAGGAAAGGCGCTGTCTTTGACGGCTGCTGCCTTGAGCCCTGCTTCGAGAAGAAAAGGCTCCTCTCGTCCTTGGTTTGTATTGGGTTGGCCAGAAAGTTTGGTTTTTCACCTGTAATAGCTCTAGTAGTGTTCAGTTGTCTTTAACTTCATTTGAGACCATTTTGTTCCACTGTATGGTGACAGCTGTCATGTCGGCATTTTTTTAAAAACTTAGTTTTTGTGTACCCATTTTAACATTGAAGAGGGAAGAAAATACGCAACACTTTGGCCATTGTGCTTTATTCTTTCAAGAAAGGTAGAAACGTAACAAAAAAAGGTTTGTGCAGTGTGTAGAGAAGGTGCTGTGACTGAGCGAACATGTCAGAAGCGGTTTGCCGAGTTGTGTGCTAGGGATCTCTCGCTGGACGATGCCCCAGGGTCGGGCGGACCAGCTGAAGTCGACAGTGATCAGATGAAGACGTTAATTGAGAACAATCAATGTTGTACCACACAGGAGATAGCCAACACACCAAAACACCCAAATCAATTAAATTATTGATGAAAGTGAAAAACCTGTTGTTTCACAGAAAACACTACAGACTCTCTCGCCAACCCAGCAGCTTCCCGGGCCGGCCTGCCCACCGCTCGGTGGCACTCACGTTGCAGTCCGGCCCTCTCCCGAGGCTGCCAGGCCCTACACAGCACCCCACCCCCCTTCCCCTCCACCCACGGCCCTGCTGGTCTCGGGTGCGGGGGCCAGGGCCGCTGGGCAGGCTCTTGGCCTGGTGGCTGCAGCAGGAGCCCGTCCCCTACACCTTTGCTCCCCCACCCTGCAGCGCAAGCACCAGGAGATCCGAGCCATGAGGAGCCAGCTGAAGAAGATCGAGGACCTGGGGGCGGCCATGGAGGAAGCCCTGATCCTGGACAACAAGTACACGGAGCACAGCACCGTGGGCCTGGCCCAGCAGTGGGACCAGCTCGACCAGCTGGGCATGCGCATGCAGCACAACCTGGAGCAGCAGATCCAGGCCAGGTACCTGCGCCCGGCACTGGGGCTGCGGGCAGAACAGCCGCGCCCCCTGAGCACAGGCCACCTGGCGTCCCGCAGCCAGGCTGCTGCTGAGCTGGGTGGGTGGGGTCTCGGTCCCTAATTCTCCTTTTTCCTGCAGGAACACGACAGGGGTGACCGAGGAGGCCCTCAAAGAGTTCAGCATGATGTTCAAGTGAGTGCACCTGCATCCTCCCGGGGGAGGGGCGGGCGGGCTCGGCAGCAGGGCCTGGGTGCTGAGCCACCCTCCGCTTTGTGCCGCAGACACTTCGACAAGGACAAGTCCGGCCGCCTGAACCACCAGGAGTTCAAATCCTGCCTGCGCTCCCTGGGCTACGACCTGCCCATGGTGGAGGAAGGAGAGCCCGACCCCGAGTTCGAGGCGATTCTGGACACGGTGGATCCGAACCGGTGAGCCTTGGGGGAGGCAGTGGACAGGGCTCTGGCCGAGGCACCTGCGGCCCCCCCGCTCACTGCACTCGCCCCTCCCCAGGGACGGCCACGTGTCCCTGCAGGAGTACATGGCGTTCATGATCAGCCGGGAGACGGAGAACGTCAAGTCCAGCGAGGAGATCGAGAGCGCCTTCCGGGCCCTGAGCTCCGAGGGGAAGCCTTACGTGACCAAGGAGGAGCTGTACCAGGTCCGGGACTCCGCGCCCACCCCGCTGCCCTGGGCGGGAGGGACTGAGGGAGGAGTCCCAGGACCAGGAACCCGAAGGCTGCCCCGGGGTCAGGGTGGAGCTGAGTCTCCAGTAACGGGCCCTGACAGCGGCTCTGGGGCCAGGCTCAGAGCGCTGGCCGGCCCAGGCGCCGGGCACGGATCTCCTGGAGCCCGGCGGGGGGGGATGGGGGGAGTAAGGGTTCCCAGCCCTCCCAGCCCACCCAGCCCGCGCTTCCGCGGGGCTCACAGGCGCCGTCCTCCCCACAGAACCTGACCCGCGAGCAGGCCGACTACTGCGTCTCCCACATGAAGCCCTACGTGGACGGCAAGGGCCGCGAGCTGCCCACGGCCTTCGACTACGTCGAGTTCACCCGCTCGCTCTTCGTGAACTGACCCGCCGCCCCCGGCCAGCCCGGCCCGCGCCGCCGCCGCCCGCCGCTGCCTTGCTGCATGTCCGCTCCTCTCTGCGCCTAAGGAAAAGACTCCGGACGGCGTCACTTCCCAATGTAACCTTCAACCTGCTTAGCTTGGGGTGAAACGTAGTAGAAAACGGTGCTTCGGCAAACTGCTCCCGGCCCGGTTACGGCCACCACGGGGACCCAGCTTCCTGTCGCGAAGCCAGCTGCTCCATTCCGACTTCAGAAAATCTAAGCAGTTGGCTGGTTTCCTCTTGTTCTCCACCCGCCCCCCATTTTGTTTCATGTAAAAGAAATAAACCACTCGACTCTGCCCCCACACTGGTCTGTCTTCATTGAGCTTCCATCACAAACAGCACAGGTACCCCCCGGCCCCCCCCCCCGCCCCCCGCACCGGCCTCTGTGCCCAGGGACGCGCCCCGCCGCGCCCGCGCCCTCAGGCGGCCACCTCCGCCGCCAGCCGCTCCAAGGCCTCCGTCTCCCGGGGCCCTTGCTCGGTGAACTCGGTGCTCAGCTGCCAGACCTTCACCACACCCTCCGCGTCGCCAGCAGCCAGCAGCTGGGTTTGATGCTGATTAAATTCCAGGCAGTACACGGGGCTTTCGTCCTGGGTCTGCTTGACTGAAACTGTGGGCTTCTGGGAGCTTTTCTGGAGGTCAAACAGCTGCACGTCACCTTCACGGGGGGAGAGTTGTGGGGTGAGACGGGCCTGGGGCCTCGTCAGGTTCCCCACGCACCCGGGAAGACAGACTCCCGGGCCGCGGCTCGGCTCGCTCCCACGCGAGTGGAGGCCTCGCCCCCGACCCACGGGACAGGCCAGCCCCTGTCCCGTTCCCTACCTTCACCGGAAGCGGCCGCGAACACCAAGGGGCGCACAGGGGACCAGCGCACGGCGAACAGGTACTTGCGGGACAGCTGCAGGGAGGTCAGGGGCTGGGCCTGCAGCATGGAGTGCAGGTGCACGTGCCCGTCGGTGCCCGCGCTCAGGAAGAGGTTCCTGCGCGGGGGAGGGGGGGCCCAGCAGCGGGGTGAGTGTTGGGTGTCCAGGTACAGCTCGAGCCTCCCCAGACTTCTAGGCTCTCGGGCTCCCCCAAACTCTCCCTGGACCCCACCCCCCCCAGGCCGGCAGTCCTGGTTAGAGAGGGTCCGATTCCCTGGGACCAGCCACCAGGTCTCTGGATGCCGGGGCCCAAGCGCAGAAGGCCCCGGCCCCGGCCCCGGCCCCGGCTGGACTGCAGGCCCTTGCAGCAGCTCTGGGGTGTAGCCCAGTGGGACTCCTCACCCGCCTGCGCCGGGGGCCCCAGGCAGGTGCAGGACACCCGAAGGCCGGGCCCTGCCCACCTGTGGAAGGGGGAGCAGCTCACGGAGTAGACGGGGCCGCCGTGGGGGGAGAAGGAGAACTGGGCCGGGGCCCGCAGGGGCACGGAGCTCGGAGCCCGCGTGGCCGCCGCCGCCTCCGCCGCCAGGGAGCACTTGAGCGGGAAGCCGCCTTCCGTGCCCAGGACGAAAAGGCCAGGGTCAAAGCTGGAGAAAGCCACCGCCGTGGTTCCCACCTCGGTCTCTCCCCGGTGCGGCTGTGGGGAAGGGGACGGCAGGGCGGAGGGGAGGGAAGCTGGTGAGCGTCCCAAAGGAGCCCAGGCCCAGAGAGGCCCTGCAGCAAGTCCCGGCTCGGCTGGGGGCGCTGCTGCCACTGCCCGCTCGCCCCACCTGCCCCCAGGGTCCACCTGCGCAGGCAGGCCGGCCCCACAGGCCGGAGCTGCTCTCGGGGGCCGGCTCCAGGGGCAGCGGCCTGGCCCCCACGTACCTTCTTCAGCTTGGTGTTCCGTGGCAGCTGCTGCACCACCAGGGCGAAGCCGCCTGTGAGCTGCAGCTGGCCCGGCCCAGCTGCCTGCCAGAGCAGCACCTTCCCATCGGTGGCCACGCTCAGCACCTGCCAGCGGTGGCTGTGGCGGGGCTCGGGGAGCCAGAGCACCTGGGGCAACGGGGTGCGGGACCAAGGTCAAGAAAGGGGTGCTGCCGCCAGCCTCCCCGCAGAGGCTCAGGCCTGGGAGCCGCCTCAGTCCCCGCCCAGGGGCAGGCTCGGAGGGCTCTGAGGTCCGTCCCCTGGTCCCAGCAGAAAGCCAGGGGGGCTGGCGGCGGCCGGGAATGGCCCTTGGGGTGGGTCCTCCCAGGGACAGGGCTGTGACTCAGGCCCTGGGAGTTCCAAGAATGCCGATGGCAGCTGCCCAGCCGCCAGCTCCCTCGTGACCCTCTTCCACGGCTGTGCCGAGCGGGCGCCCTCTCTCCTGCTCGGCCTCAAGAAGCGGGCCCACACCAGCGAGACCCAGCTCAGAGAGGAGGGGAAGGCACCCCCTTGACCCTCCCAAACACCCACTGCCCTGACCTGGTACACCGGGTCCGTGTGCGTGTCGTCTGTCAGGCCCGTACGCCAGAGCAGCGGGTCCTCAGGGCGGCCCGTGTCCCACACCAGCACCTCGCCGCTGTACAGACCACCTGTGGGACCCAGCCGGCCAGGCCAGAGCTGACCCGTGCCCAGCAGCCCAGTGTGCTGGCCAAGCACCCGCCCTCCAGCCCCTGAGCCAGGATGTGGGGCCACTGCCCGAAAGCCACCCCGAGGAGGACGTGCCCTGCTACCCGGGACAGGCCCCGCCCAGGAAGCTCCTCTGCCCAGCCCTCGAGAGGCCCCCAGCGCCACCCTTTCCCAGGCGGGCGGCTCCTGTCAGCAGCGGCAGCTCCTGAGCCGCCGGCTCCACCCCACTCTCGTCCCAACCAGGCTGACCCTCTCGCTCTGAGCTGCACGCCCCACTCAGCATCCTCACCTGAGCACAGGCTCCCCTGTGGTCTCCGCCTCCCGCTAGTTCCGCCCTGGCCGTGCCCCGGGGCTGAGGGCCCGAGGGAGCCTCCCCTTGGCCGCCCTCCGCAGAGAGGGAGGGAGGGAGGGAGGGCGGAGACACGAGGCAGGCCGGAGGCTCACCTGCAATGTGGGAGGGCTGCGTGGGGTGGAAGGCCAGGCACATGACGGCACTGGGCACCTCCACCACCACCGACGGCTGCCGGGGGTTCAGGCCTCGCCGGTCCAGGTTCCAGGCACACACGAAGGACTTCAGGGTGCTCCAGTCCCCATCATCCAGCCTGCGCACGGACGGCCGAGCTGGCTCCGCCCCTGGGCCGGGCCTTCTGCCCCCACCTGCCCCCACCTCTCTCCCACAGCCCGCACACACAGTGACCTGTGCCCGCATCACACCCAGACACTGTGCTTGGTATCCAAGTGCCACAGGTTCCTCCACAGCACCCCGAGGGCACGCCTTTCACCGGAAAAGGGTTCCCAGGAACCAAGCCTGGGCCCACATGTCAGAAGACAGCTCACGGAGAAGGCACGGCAGGCCCGCAGCTCCCTGCCCAGGGCTGACCGGTGGGCACTCGGAGTCCTGGGCTCCAAGCCCCTCCGCACCCCCGCCGCCCGCTGCCCAGGAAGTTCCGGGCCAACCCCGTGCAGACGGGGAAACATGCTCCAGCGAGAGCCCGAGGGCCCCCCCTGCCACTCACCGGCCGTAGGCACAGGCCACCACGGAGCCCGTGCTGTTCCAGGAGACACTGGTCACATGCAGACCCTGCGCTTGGGCGGGCGGGTAGCCCAGGGTGTGCAGGCACGTCACCTGCGAGACAGAGCGTCCCCACCCCTGAGCCTGAGAGACACCCAGCGGGCAGCCTCAGTACCACCCGACCAAAACCGCCCCCGGGCTCGCGCCGCCCAGCGCCCTGGCAGGGGTCGGAGTCCACCAAGCACCGCGCAGCCCCGAGGACACCGCACGGCCTCCGTCCCGACGTGCCCCCCCGCTCGATGCTTCCAGACCGGAGGGCAGGGACCAGAGCTGGACCCTGTTCCCACACCCATCCTGCACACACACGTCCAAAAGCTTCGGCGTCGGGAGCTGGAGGGCGGCGACGTGCGCACAGCGACGTGAGCGCGCTCGGTGCCCCAGGGCTGCACGCTGGGAGCGGTCAGAGCGGAGACAGTGTTTCTGAGCTCTGGCGCCTGGCTCCCCAGCCCGCGGCAAGCGAGCGAAGGAGAAGGCTGGCGACGCCGGCCACGGCGAGGGCCGGCCACGAGCTCCCTGGAACACGGGCCGCACCACGGAGCAAAGCTCCGTGAGAAGTCCCACACCTCCTGACGCCCCCCGGGCCCCACCGAGAGGAACCGCCCCACGGGATGGCTCCACGGGCCCGGAAAAGCCGCGCGCTGGGAACCCTCACACGCCGCTCCGAGGAGGTGGGGCGGGCAGGCCCTGCAGCCAGCAGTCTGGCGCTCCGTCCAGAGGCTCGCGGGGAGTGACCGGCGCTCCACGAGTCCCAGTCCCAGGGGCGCCCAAAGGAAACCGAAAACACGTGTTTACACCAAGACGTGTGCACAGATGTTCACGGCATCGTGCCCGAGAGCCGAGTGTCCACCGGCTGCTGGACAAGGGCGGCCTCTCCCCGCAGTGGAATGTCCTCCGGCCAGACAAGAAGCGCAGCGCCAGCAGACGCCGCACCGTGATGACCTGCGACAACACTCTGCTCAGCGGCAGAAGCCAGTCACAAAAGACCGCTTCTTCAGATCCCACTGGTAGGACACGCTCAGAGAGACAGAGCGAGAGAGACAGAAGGCAGATCAGCAGTTGCCAGGGCCCAGGCAGAAACGCCTAATGGGTACGGGGTTTCCTGGGGGCACGAAAACGCTCTGACGTTGGCCGTGGCGACGGTCACACGGCCCCGGGGACACACGAAAACCCACTGAACGGCACGCTTTATGTGGCGAGTTACGTGGGATAGCGACAGAACCTCAGTCCGTCTGTTATTCCGAAACGAGACGACGCAGTGAGGTGGGAAGCAGAGGGGGCGTGAGAGAATGTTCGGGGTTTTCAGTCTCTTGGCCTGGGTCCCGGTCCCACCAACGTTCCCGCCGTGCGGCGAGTCCTGGGCCTGCGCGGCCGGGCAGCTCGGCTGGCCAGAGCACGGCCCCGGGCCCCGGAGGGCTGAGGGCTGACCCCGGCCGCGGGCTCGGTCCCCGGTCAGTCAGGGCGCATGGGTGGGGGGGGCAGCCGGTGTCTCTCTCTCACATCGATGTTTCTCTCCCACTCTTGCTCTCCCTTCCTCCCTCTCTGAAACCTGCACACATGCCTCTGGGTAAGGGTTTTTTCAAAAAGAAAGAAAAGTCACGGACTTGAACACATGTAAGCTCTGCATGTTTTTATGTTACAGTCAATAAAAGTCCCCATTAAAAATAAACTCCAGGAGTCTCCCCCTCACCTGCGGTTTTACTTCCCGTCTCAGTGACCTGTGATCCGCCAGGGACTGCGAACATGACACGGAACGCCCCGGAAATCAACAGCCCCCTGGCTCTCAGCCGCAGGCCGGCCTAAGCACCGCGCTGCAGTCTCTCGCCACCCTGCCCCCCGCCCCGCACCCCCGCCCCCCGGGCCAGGAGTCCTCGCTCTGCAGCCGCCCCGCCCTGCGAGCTCCCCGCCTGCCGGTCGGCCTCCAGGCCGCGGTCGCCGGTCACAGCGCCCATGTTCCAGCCACGCTTACGTCACCGGACAGTGCCACCTCCGCGTAACTGTTACGGCCGCAAATGGTCAGAATTGTTCCATCTTGTCACCGTTACGGCTCGCCCCCTACTGTGTCTACCTCAGGCACCGAACCTCCGCACTGGGGCGTGTGTGTGCAGAAACACAGCGCCCGAAGTGGCCTGGCCTCACGTCTTCAGCGGGCTCCGCAACTTGGGGCAGAACAACGCGCGTGAGACCGATCCCACTGCAGACAGACCGATCGACACAGACAGGCGCTGAGCTCCCAGGCAGCTCCTCGATGCCCTAAGGAAACGACTTGGGTAAGACGTTACTCCAGGGCCTGCTTGCTGTGTAGGGTTTGGTGCCGTCCACAGCCCCAGGCACCCGCCGGGGGTCCTGGAACACGCCCCCCAAGCACACGGGGCGCTGCCGTACGCACAGTGAGAGCTATTTATCACAACGCTACAGCCGCAGTGATTATGCAACGCACAGTCTAAAAGGAGACTGACGGGGGAGAGAGTTAGGGGACGATGGGGCTGTCTCGCACCCTCACTCCGTAGCTGTGCGTTTGCCGGCACAGAACCGGCTCTGCTTTGGCCGGAAAAGACCCTACGCCTGGTCACCGTGACTCAGCCGCCAGCAGCACACGGGTGGAAAACAAGGGGAAGGAAATGACACAGCAAACAGACCAGAGGTTCCAGGGGGAGGTCCATCGGGGATTTCTCCCTTATCTCTGATTTCTGAGTGCTCGGCAAAGTTGTCAGATTGTTTACAGATATTTTTTTAATTTACTGGGTTTTAGAGGGAGGGAAGGGGAGAAAGAGAGAAACACCGCCCACCGCCCCACCCATCCGGCGTTTGCCAGTGGACCCCCACACGCGCCCCACCCTGGCGTTTCAGGAGGTCGCTCCAACGAGCTGGACCGCCAGCTGTGGCCATTTACAAACTTTAAAACTGCGGTTTTGCACTAAGAGCAGCATCTCAGCCCTTCAGGGGCTTCTGCAGCAATGCCAGGCCAGTGGTGAAGTGTCAAGGCCACACCCCTGGCAGCAGGAGACAGAAACACCCACATGGGCCAAAACAGCCGCCCCGCTACAAGGGGAGTGAAGCAGAAACTGATGCAAAAGAAGACAGACAGACAGAGGTGTGCTGCCGTTCAGTTATGTAACAGCGAAGTCTGAAAGCACGCCTCTGTCTGACATTTGGAATGAGCTAGAAACTTCGGGGCCGCCCAGGGCGTGCCCAGCGCGCGGCCCCTCCAGGGTGCTGCCCAGCCTCCCGCCTGCTCACGTGCAGGAGGAGGCGACAGTTCTGGAAGCGAGGCCGCTGTCCCCACGCCCACCAGCCGGACGCAGACACAAGGTGGCATGTTGGCGCGGAGGGACGCAACACGCGTGCCGGGAAGGCTGGAGCCCCCGCATGGGCACTGGCGTGGGACGCTCTGGCAGCGGAGAAAAGGCCACAGACACACCCTCGGTGCTTCCCCCTTCGGTGAACCGCGTTACGGACGACACGGTGGCGGCCGCACTGTGCCCGCCCAGCGCGGGACTCACTCCGCAGGCCGCAGGCCTGGGGCCCCGCTCCCCTCTCGCTGTCTGCATCTCCTAGGTTCTGGGTGTCTGTGATGGCTGAACTACTCATAATAAACACGCGCTGCTTTTGTAATAAAAAAAAAGAACAGATGTTTTTGAAGGGGGGACAAGCCTGGCTGGTGGGGCTCAGTGGACTGGGTGCCGGCCTGGGAACCAAAGGGTCGCAGGTTCGCTTCCCGGTCAGGGCACACGCCTGGGTTGCGGGCCGGGTCCCCGGCTGGGGGCGTGTGAGAGTGATGATTCTCTCCCTCTCTCCCTCCCTCCCTTCCACTCTCTAAAAAAAAATAAATTAAAATGTTTTTAAAATTTTTTAAAAAGGGGGTGATAAAGTAATACACACATGGACCAAAATAATCCATAGAGATGTGAGGAAGCCCTAATAATAAAGGACAAAAGCCTGGCCTCTCTGAACGTAACTGAGAGACGGGGCACAGGCGATGACCCCGCCCAGGGAGAGAGGACAGAGGACGAGCCGAGGCTTCAAGGTCACTGCATTCTTCTCTGGCGGCCTGTGTCTCCTCCTGCGGCACTGGATCTGACTCCGCGCTTTGGTGCGGACTTATTAGCAACCTTCTGAGGACCCTCTCACACGCACTCCGACTCCCAGGCCTACAGAGACCTGGTGGGGAGGGGGCAGCCGCACCTCACGGGAAACAGAGGGAGGGCAGGCAGGGGAGGAGAGGGCAAGGGAAGGGCCGAAGACCTCTGGATCCATGACGACTCATCTGTTTCTAACAGTGTATATAAAAAAAAAGGCAGCCCCGATTGGTGTAGCTCAGTGGATTGAGCTCGGGCTGCAAACCAAAGTGTCGCAGGTTCGATTCCCAGTCAGGGCACATGCCTGGGTTGCAGGCCATGACCCCCAGCAACCGCACATTGATGTTTCTCTCTCTCTCTTTCCCTCCCTTCCCTCTCTAAAAAATAAATAAATAAATAAATAAATAAATAAATGATCTTAAAAGAAAGAAAGAAAGAAAGGCACGGCCCTGGCTGGTGTGGCTCGACGGAGTGAGTGGCAGCCTCCGGAACAAAAGGCTGACAGTTCGATGCCCAGTCAGAGCGCACGCCTGGGTTGCGGGCCAGGTCCCCAGCAGGGGGTGTGAGAGAGGTAACGGAGCGCTGTTTTTCCCCTACATCATGTTTCTCTCCCTCTCTTTCTCCCTCCTTTCCCTTCTCTAAAAATAAATAAGTAAAAATCTTTCAAGAAAGGAAGAAGACAAAGGTGCGAACCAGCGCACAGACGCCTGCGGACTGGGGCGCTCAGCCCCGAGCGAGCAGCCTGCCCGCAAGCGGCACACTGGGGAGGGCGAGGCCCGGCCGGTGCGGAGCAAACGCCAAGAGCTCTTCCTGCGTTCGGAGGCTCCCGCCCTCGGAGCCCACGCTGTCTGTCGGCCGCACAGCTGAGTTCACCGGTGCCGGCTCTGAGCTGTGCCTGGGGAGCAGAGAGGGCTGGAGACGCTGACGTCACCAGAGCACAGCCCCGAAACGACGCAGACCAGGGCTCAAATTCCAGCTCGGCCACTTAACCTCTCTGCGCCTTTCCTACAAAGTGGAGATCGTCACGGAACCGACACGGGTGTCCTGGGGAGTGAGTGCGACGGGACAGAGGGCGTCCTTGCCCACAGCGCCCACGGCGCCCACAGGGCCCACAGCGCCCACAGTGCATGGGGAGACGCATGCGGGCGGAGGAGAGCACGAGGCACCAGTCGAACTGGCCGGGTGCAAACTCCGCCCCTGCTGCTCACGAGCTTGGTGCCGTTCCGGAACAGTTACCGCAGCTCTGAGTCCCGTGCCCCCGGCTGCAGGGTGCAGCCAGCGAGGGCCCACTGACTTACTCCTACAAGACAGCCCTGGGCACCTGAGACAGAGCGCAAGGGCTCGGTGAGGGCTGGTACCGTGACGGGTATGATGATTCCTCGGGCCGTGCAAAAGACGGGCCTGAAACGGGGTGCGGGCGGCCCGCCTGCTCCCTACCGTCTCCTGCGGCTCCGTCCAGTTCACCTCGAAGCCGTCGAAGGCGTGGCTCTGCCAGTTCTTGTTCAGCTCCCGGGTCACCAGGGCCTCCACTCTCTGCAGAAAGGCCGCGAGCCGGGGGCCGTCGTGCTGGGGCGCGGGTGGGGAGCCCGCCGGCATGGCGGCCTCGGTCTGCACCTCGGCATCTGCATGCCTCCGGGTCTGCGTGGACGCTTCGGCAGTGGTGACGCTGGCCGTCTGGCAGCTTTTCTGGAGGAGATCAAAACGCCGCGGTCACCAGCTAGCCAGCTGTTGGCCGCGTCCCCTGCCCGGGGAACTCGCTTCCCATGCAGCTCGCTATCCTCAGGCCCGCGGACCTCTCCGCTGTCTGCTCAAAGCCCGGCCCATCTTCCCTAGGAGGGGCCCAATCTGCGTGGCGCGCGAGTGGAGATGACCCTGAAGCCTTCCTCTGTCTGCTCCACGGAGGCCGAGGGGGGACAGGGCCGCGACTAGCTGATCAGAGCCCGGGGCTGCCCTCCAGCCTCAGTGACTGGTTCAGAGGGACCGCATGACCCGGTAAGAGCCCCAGGCCGTGAGGCGACACGCTTTGGTGAGGACTCAGGAATGTCCCCTCTGAAGACACCGGCATCTGGAATAGTCACGGAACAACTTTAAAGACGATAAGGAAACTAGTTTTATCATAGGTTAACTAACGTAAACAAGTTCCTCCAGCACCTCATCAGCGTTGTAACAGAACAACGTTGCTTGAGGACCTGCTGGACCTGAGAGCCGGCAGTGGCCACCTCGGCCAGCACCCTCAGCCCCTGTGGCCAGCAGCGGAACACCCCCTAGCCCGCCCCCGCCTTGCCGGACAGCCCTCTCCAGCGGGGTGCCTTCCACCCGTGGCCGAAGGAGACACTCGCGCCCGTGATGAGTCAGTTCATATACGGCAGGTTTCCCGGCTGCCCTCCTCTGCACCCTGCCATCCGTCTCAAGGTCCTTGTCCCTCGGTCAGCTGGGCGCAAGGACAGGCATCAGGTGCTCAGGAGAGGAACTGCCAACCTGCCTTTCTGACAGCCATGTCCAATCTTTTCCGAACGAGGGACCCACGTCCCTGAGATCGTTGTCATCCACCAGAGGCCCTCCTCACCCAGCCACTCATCAGGGTCCCGCCCCCGCGATTCCCTGCTAAGGCTCGGGGGCAGGGCCAGGCCCCAGGCCAGAGTTGGTGAGCCGGGAGAGGGGACGAGGACCACGCAGGGGAGCTCTCCTTGGGGCCTGGAGCACGCTCAACCCTTGTGCCCACGCCCCCTTCCCATTCCACTGAACTCCCCCTGCTCGTCCATCTCCCATCAGCTGTGAGTTCCTCCGGCAGGAGAACGCTGCCCGCTCCACCTTCACACCCCAGCACTTTGCATGGCATTTGGCACATGGTTCAAGTTCATTTATACTACACACAACACATGTATGTGTACATGTACACGTACCTGCACACACATACATTTATTAAGCATCTACTTGCCAGGCACTGTCAGGGTACGGTGGATGGAGCGGAAAACAGAACGTGCAAGGTTCCTGTGCCCGAGGAACACGCCTGGGACTCGGCTGTGGACGAGTTAAACAAACCAACCAACCAACCCCATGGAAATCCAACGGTGCAGCAGAGGTGGGGAAGCTCCCGGGGCGGGGCGGCGCAGGTGGCCTCTCAGGGAGCTGGCATCTGAGCTGAGAGGGGAAGGACAAGGAGCTGGCCGAGGGGACAGCGACAGGCAGGAGGGCCCCCAAAGGCACAGAAGCACGTTACATTCAGAGGGGGGCTTCAGAAAGGCAACTCTGCCGGAAAGTGGGAGGGATTGGATCAGCAGCGTGCACATTCTGCTGTGCACTAGAAGGAGCTGGGTGCTTCAGTACAACCAGAGTCCCGGCTCTGACCTCACGCCAGTCCCGCTAGAGTCACTCAGAGCAGGCCCCAGACACCCCCAGTGTCCAGTCTCCAGGCCGTTCCAGCGTCAGGCACGGCTGAGAAACCGCAGAGCAGCAAGGGGCGGGGCGGCCAGGAGCCGGCCCTCTCGGGTCGCTGAGCCTCCTGTCACCCCCCCAAGAAGTACCCTAACAAGGCACATTTTGCAGAAGAGACCACATGAGTGGTCCAAGGCCAACCCTTAGAGTCTGCGCACCTGGGTCCCAGGACCCTGTCCCTCGGAGCAGACTGGGGTATGACGAGAAAAGCCGAGTCAGGCCCAAGACCATTGACGTGAAAATAAAGTTTCAGAAACCAGCACTGGAATGCACACCCACATTCCAATACTGTACCACTATTCGAGCCAAGCAAAGACCCATGTTTGACTATGCCAAAGAAACTTCCAAAAAAAACTAAGAAACTGCATAAAAATTTACCTAGAACACTCATCACAGGGTTAATTGATAAGAGAAAAATTGGAAAAAATCGAACAGCCCATCAAAAGAGACTGGTTAAGAGGGTAGGGAGGTATAAGGGACTAAACGGTAATGGGGGAAAAAATTCAATAAAGATTAAATAGGCCCTGTTTGGTGTGGCTCAGTGGATCGAGTGCCGACCTGTGAACCAAAAGGTCGCTGGTTCAATTCCCAGTCAGAGCACACGCCTAGGTTTCAGGCCAGATCCCCAGTAGGGGGTGCATGAGAGGCAACCACACATTGATGTTTCTCTCCCCCTCTTTCTCTTTCACTTCCCCTCTCTCTAAAAATAAATAAATAAAATCTTTTTAAATTTTTAAATTAAAAAATAAAAAGGAAAAAAGGGACTGGGGAAATAAAGTTATAAAAAATGTTGACATGCAATGTTTGGCTGTATTAGGTGGAAGTGTTATGTGCAATGCAACTCCACTTTTATAAAAAAGAAAAATGTGGAGGGACAAAGGGGGGAAATCAGGACAACTGTAATAGCACAATCAATAAAATATAATTTTAAAAATGTGGAAAAGAGGCAAAACAAAAAGGGGACAGGTACAAACCAAATGGCTGGAGGGGAATGAGACTGTGGGGTGACTTTTATTTCTTTTTTTATTTATCCATTTTTCTCTAAATTTTGGAATAGATAACTTTAAAAAGTTGTATTAATTTTTTTAAAGGTTTTATTGATTTTTAGAGAGGGGAAGGGAGGGAGAAAGAGTGGGAGAGAAACATCAATGTGTGGCTGCCCCTCACACACCCCCCACCAGGGACCTGACCCGAAGCCCAGGCATGTGCCCTGACTGGGAATTGAACGAGTGATGCTTTGCTTCGCAGGCCGATGCTTAATCCACTGAGCCACACCAGCCAGGGCTAAAAGTCCATATTAATTTGAGAGAGAAACAGAGTTTTGCAGAGAAGCAGAGTTTTGCCACTTATTTATGCATTCATTGGTTGAGTCTTTGTATGTGCTCTGACCTGGGAGACATAGATAACTTTTAAAAAGAAAAAAAAAGTTAATTTGTAAAAAATAATTTACCCCTTCCTTCTGACCCTTGCAACATTCTTACAACTTAACAAAATCTTCTGTCCTGGCTGGGGTAGCTCAGTGGACTCAGTGCAGGCCTGTGAACCAAAGGGTTGGCGGTTTGATTCCCAGTCATAGCACATGCCCGGGTTGCGGGCCAAGTCCCCAGTAGAGGGCGCGTGAGAGGCAGCCACACATTGATGTTTCTCTCCCTCTTTCTCCTTCCCTTCTCTCTAAAAATAGATATAATCTTAAAAAAAAAAAAAACTCAGTAAGGTAAGAGTGATTCAAATGTATCACCCTCACAAATGAAAGCCCAGGATCAGTTCTTCCTACAGGTTAAAACTATCTACAAGAAAATTAACAAGCCTCAATCTCATTCTTGGGGGGGAGGGGGGAGTTACACTGAACCAGGAGTTCCCAACTTCTAAAATCTGAAGTCTTCTACAATCTGAATCATCAGCAAGCCAGAGAGAGGTATTTCAAGTAATTTTTTCACGTCCAGTGAATTACATACATTTACCTGTGGTAAGGGTCTCTATAACTCAAGCATCCACTGCCTTTACTTTTTAACTAGAATGGTGGCTCCTGCGCAGCCTGGTGAGGCCGGAGTGCTTTGAAACCAGATCAAATCCTGACTTGAAACCGACAGGCTGTTGGCCTGAGGTAACAAACTGTGCTCAAAGGCAAGACGTCAGGGAAACGCCACAGGTGTTGGTGAGACTGTGAGCTGCAAATTGGACACACCTATGCGACAAATTAAGCCTCAATTTTCTGCATCAACCTGCTTGACCTGTCCCTGCTTAACCTCTCTGATCTCACCTGGAACCGTTCTACCCTCGGGCCCTGCATTCCTCTCCAGCCCCGCCTAGCTCCTCAAACACCAGATTAGCTCTGACCCCAGGCCTCTGCACCCGCCCTTGGCTCTGCCTGGACTCTGCTAACTCAGGGATCCGCTCCGCTAACTCGCTCACTCCAAGTCTTTGTTTAAATGCCCCCTGTCTATGCGGCCCACTCTGCAACTCACCCTCTCCCTCCCCGATTATTCCTTCTAAACCCTCACCCCTCTTTTTCTTGTCCAGGACACCGTCCACTTTCTAACACACTGCATAATATATTTATTGCATACACTGTTAATTTTCTATCCCCCGCGCACACGCGCGCAGGCAGGGCTCCGGGAGGAAGCCCCGAAGGGCCCCCGCGCGCGAACCGCTCTGGGCTGCGCGCAGCGGGAGTTCCAAGCGCCTCCGGAGCGGCCGCGGCACCCAGGAGCCCGGCCCCTCATCTCCCCAAAGCACCTCTTTTTGTGTGCTTTTGATTAAACCACAAGAAGCGGCTTGTCTAGATCTTAAGATGCAGTCGGGTCATTTTTTTAAACGGAAGATGGTTTGAAATGCCTAAAAACTTCAGTTCATCCAAAATCCTTCCAAACGTAGGGTCTTCAGACTTAAAAAACAAAACAAAACTTTATGCTGTTGTTCAAAGACTGAGGAAACTGACACAAGAGCATCCCAAAGGTTAGTTCCTGTGTATTAAAGTATGAAAATAAATCGGTGGGACGCCAGAACCTGGCCCGGCGGCCTGGCGCGGCCCGTGGCCCTCGCCCCGCCGCCCGCGCCGCCCGGAGCCGGGCCCGCGCCCTCACCGTCTCCCCGCGGAGGCCCTGGACGCCCCTCCACTGCGAAGGCACGGACACCACGCCCAGGGTCTCGTCCTGCAGCGACCCCGACCGCCCGGGCCCCTCGGCGCTCGCAGCCCGCGCAGTCGCCAGCGCCACAGCACCCGCGCTTCCCGCCAGGCAGAGGTGCCTGGGCTGCGCGCAGGTTGCCATGGAGACGGGCCGGCGCTGGCGCACTCCAACGCGACCTTCGTCCCCGCGTCTCCAGAACGGAAGACCGGGGAGGTGAAGCTATCGGTGCCATTTTTGAAGTGGTCAGATGCTTGCCCCAGGACCCGGAAAAAGGAGATAAGTTATTCTTTTCAGCCGGTTGTACAAGCATAACCAGTGTTAGATACTCTGTTCTCATAAGGGGAACGCTTAGGGGATGTGCGGCTGTCCCCTTGCGGGGGAGGCGGGGAATGCGGAAGTGAGTCCCCGATGCCAGGATCAAAGATGGCGCCGAGCGTCCCTCGCAGAGGCCAGCGCCGGAGGCTGTGGCCAGGACAGGCGGGCGAGTTTTAAGACCTGCTGGCCTGGGACCAGCAGGCAAGCCAGGTTCTCCCAGCAGAGCCGGGAACCGCGCTGCTCCAGTTGGCCGCCACTTTGAAGTCAAGTGCTCTACCTCGGATCTTCAGTGTCTGCCCCAGTAGAATGGTAGTTTAAAGTATCCGTATGCTGCCCCGGCCACGCAACTGGGTAGCCAAGTGTCAGAGCAGTGAATGCATATATAAGTGGGGCAACACATTGACGTTTCTCTCTCTCCCCCTTCCTATCTGTCTAAAAAAAAATCAATAAATAAGAATAAGTAAAATATCCATATAGGGATCCTGAGCCTGATTGAATAGTTGGAAGGCCCAAATGAAGTTGTCTACAGAAACAGCCTTGTTACATCGAAATGGAAGACCCAGGGATTGACCACACGGGTGTTGTGTGACAGGCAAAGGCCAGAGCTCTGTGTGTGTTATTACATCCTCAAAACGATGCTGTGAAGAAGCAAATGTCATCTGTGATGCGAGAGTGCTGATGGTCAGAGTTTGACCGCCCCAAGTTACCCAGTACATTCAAGTCCCCATGACATTTGCCCACGACACCCACAGGCGGCTGCTTGGCCTGAAGCCCTGTTCTGAGCCTCTTGGCAGGAATCCAACGGCCCGGCCCCTGGGCTGCTTTCCTGCTACCCCAGATATATCGGGGATGAAAACCTGCCCACGTAGGGGCCCTCCGCACCACCATGGCTGAGTCCTCGTTAGAACCCTGTTTCACCGAGGCCTGGAGAGCCGGTTAGATGGGCAAGGCTGCTGAAATGAAATGCTACGGACATTTCTTCCTGCAAAGAAAGAACCCCACAGCGTTCTTCTTGCAGGGCCCTCTGAACGCTAGCAGGGGTGTCAAACTCATTGTCACCGGGGGCCACATCAGCCTCGCAGCTGCCTTCAAAGGGCTGAATGTAATTTTGGCACTATGTAAATGGAACGACTCCTTAACAGTTAAGCCATAGCTCAGCATTGCCTCTGGGTGGAAACAGAGGGCCAGGCCAGATAAAACCAGGTGGAGGGCCGGATTCAGCCCGTAGGCCTTGTGTTTGCCACCTGCATGCCGGAAGAGTTTGCAACCATCACCGAGGATTCCAAAAATCACACTCAAGATAGAAAGAAGCTCACGACTGGGTTTTTGGAGGCCTGGATGTGAAGGCTAAGAGGACACTCTATAAGAGGACATATAGAGTGTCCTCTTCTCCTTGGTACCTCTGTGGGCCTTGGGTTCCTAGCTGTGAAATGAGGCTAGTAAGACCGGGCCTGCTTAACCCAACTGAAGGAAGAAAAGGTTCCAGGAAGAGAAGGGTGTCGGTGAGGTCCGAGGTATTAAATGCCCCAAACAGATCAATAAAGATAAGACCAGAAAATAGATCAGTTCCTGAAACTGGCACTTTTAGATGCCATACTGGTGGCCTTAGAAATTTCAGTGGAGCTGTGGGGACAAAAAACAGACTGCAGAGGGTTTAGGGACGAAAGGAGGAAGCAGAGAAAGTCATGAGCGTTACTGGGAAGCTAAACACAGGAAGTGGGTGTGAGTGTGAATTGGTACATCCTAATTGGAGGGTAATTTGACCTTAAAGGATACCTCTTCTTTCTTTATTTAAGATTCTATTTATTTATTTTTAGACAGAGGGGAAGGGAGGGAGGAGAGGGAGAGAAACATCAGTGTGTGGTTGCCTCTCGTGCGACCCCTACTGGGGACCTGGCCCGCAACCCAGGCACATGTCCTGACTGGAAATTGAACCAGCGACCCTTTGGGTCCCAGGTGCCACTCAGTCCACTGAGTCACACCAGCTGGGGCTATACCCCTTCTTTAATCTAGATATCCCATTTCAGGATTTTTTTTTTTTTTTTGCCTGAGTTAACAATTCCAGATTCACACAGACACTGCGCCGCAGGGATATTTAGCGACACATGATTTGTAATAGTGTGACTGTGATAAGAGTGACTGATTTTGCAGTCAGTGTCCATTCTAATCAAAGCCGTGGCACACGACAGGCGCTCACTAAACATTTGAAAGAGAATGCCCTCAGTTTAGTATTTCTGACATGTGTGTAGAATCTCAGGTGGCCATTAATGCTATTGTTACATGGATGTTTAAATGCAGCAAAATGCTTACAGCATATTAAAGTTTTCATAAGATGCTGCTCTGGCTGGTGTGGCTCAGTGGATTGAGCGCTGGCCTGTGAACCAAAGGGCTGTGGGTTCAATTCCCCTTCAGGACACAAACCTGGGTTGCAGGCCGGGTCCCAGGTTGGGGGCGTGTAAGAGGCAACCGACTGATGTTTTTCTTGCACATGGTGTTTCTCTCCTTGTCTTTCTCGCTCCCTTTCTCTCTCTCTGAAAATAAATAAACAAAATCTTTTAAAAATATATGCCATTTATATACAGTATATTCTGTTTTTATAACGATGTCTCATGTTTTCTTTTTCCTTGTTTTATTTTTCAGTTACTGTCCACATTCAATATTCTTTTGTATCGGTTCTGGTGCTACAGTGGGATCATTAATGCGTTTGTGGCCTTTGACTTCTGAGCCACGACTGCTGTCATTTTGTAGCAATGTTCTTACTTTTTCCTGGAAGAGGCAAGGAACGCAATGCCCTCTCCAACAACGCATGTCCCTAATGACACCTAGAAGTGCAGGTCCGAGATATTGATTGTGGTCGCCCCTGGGGAATTCCTGTTTTATTCTTCTCTCTTCGTAGCGCTCAAGTTTTATGTGGCTTGTATGTGGGAAGAAAGGAGTGGCTGGACGAACAGATAGACAAAGCTTAGTGTGCGGAAGGCATATTTTGCATATGCCTTGCTTGAGTGGGCAAGGCAATGGGGAAACATTTGTAAGATGAGAAAGTCTTTTTTTTTTAAGATTGTATCTATCTTAATTTTGTTTGTTTGTTTTTACATCCATGTGTGATTGCCCCTCCCACTCCCCCTGCTGGGGATCCGGCCTGCAACACGGGCACATTCCCTAGACTGGAAATCAAACCGTGACCCTCTGGTTCACAGGCCTGTGCTCAATCCACTGAGCCACACCAGCCAGGGCGATTTTATCTATTTTTAGAGAGAGGGGAAGGGAGGGAGAAAGAGAGGGAGAGGAATATTGGTTGCCTCTCGTGCTCACCCCCAAATGGGGGCCTGGCTCATAACCCTGCCTCGTGCCCTGACTAGGAACCGAATCAGCAGCATGTTGGTTCACAGGCAGGCACTCAGCCCACTGAGCCCCAGCAGCCAGGGCAAGGTGGGCAAGTCTGGGGCCACACGTGTGCCAGAAAGGTGGAGGCTGAGCGGGAGAGCACTGCTCACTGCAGGAGGGGGTGGGGCAGAGCAGGAGAGAGGGGAGGGGAGGGGAGAGAGGGGAGGGGAGGGGAGGGGAAGGGAGGGGCACCGGGGCAGCAAACAGCCCTGAGGCAGTGGCGTGTCTCCAGACCCCGTCTCAAAGCAGCGGGCCCTCCCTCCGGCCCATCCCAGATTACACCGGGGCAATTCAAACTCCTCCACCCATTCTCCGGCCTCTGTGCGCCCTTCCTCCACCTGGGCCGCCCCTCCCTGTCCTCCTGACCTTCAAGCCCCCTTGGAAGTGTTACTTCCTTCAAGGCCCAGATCCCAGCCCCTGCTGTTGCTTCTCAGTGGACTGTGTTTCTCCCCTCCGGAGCATTCCTTAAAATTGTAACTAAGTAACAAGTCAGTAATACCTGCCATTGCCCCAGTGGGTCAGCTCCACCGATGTGGGGACCGCAGCTGTCCCCAGAGCCCACCCAGCACAGTGCCCGGCACACACAATGGAGACTAATGGAATAAACATCTAGCCATCAGTAAGTTCCGGTTCCTGCTTATAAAGCTGCCTTCCAGGAAGCTTCCTGCTTTCTACCTCTACTTTTTTTTTTAACTTGTTTTCCTTTTATTATTATTATTATTTTTTTAATTTTAGAGAGGGGGAAAGGAGGGAGGAGAGAGAGGTGGAGAGAAACATCAATGCAAGAGAGAAACGTAGTCCGGGTGCCTCTCACACAAACTTCCTCGAGTGCTCACCCCACGCAAGCACTTCGCATGAACCCCCGCAAGGAACGTCCTGATAGGTCGGGTACTCCCGCGACCCACCGTTCACAGACACAGGGAAGAAGGAAGGCTCAGAGATCTTAGGTTTCTCGCTCAGGTTCAGTGGTGGAGGTTCGATGAAAGCCCCCAACTGCCCCGTTCAAACAAAAGCTTGTGCTCCTTTCTTCAAACCACGCTGTGCCTCAGTGTTCTTGCCCACACACTTGGGACACGAGGGCCTAGCTCGGTTGAAACATGACTGAGTTAGCCCTTGGAGAGCAAGCACACACATTTATTAATTACGAACATTATTCTTAGCCCCAAGCCATAGGGGATCAGGGAGACCACACAAAGGGAGACGGGGCCTTAAAAGATGGGAAAGATCGGTCCTGAGTAGCAGCACCAGGCCACAGGGTCCCGCGCCCCCACCCTCCCCACACACAACTGGTCATCCAAATAAGTGCTGCCTTCCCCTAAGTTCCACTAATCATGAGGCAGGCACGGTGCTAGGTTCTGGGGACCGTGAGGGTTTCTGCCCTCAGTGAGCTGACAGCTGCGTGGGAGGGACAGTCACAAGGCCCTCTGAGTCAGCTCTGGGGGATGGGCTGGGGTGGG